GGCAGCTCCTGGCTCCTCTTTCCATGGCTGACCCGTCTTCATTGTCATCCCTCCTGACCTCAGGTCAGCTGTGCTGAGCCTCCACCCAGGCCACTGTCATGGATTCCTGATGATAGGCTTAGGGGTGGGGGTTGGTTGAATGCCTTAGCTCCACTAAGTTGTTGACAATCTGTTGGAATGGCTGTATCCTTGTTTGCTTCCTTCCTGCAGTTCCCTTTCTGTAAATGCTACAGTTCATGAGCAAATATTTTAAGTGTCTATCTGGAGAAAATATACTTGGTATTACTCATAAATGGAAAGGGAATATACAGAAGAGGCAGAATATTGTTTTAGATTGACCTCATTATCATCATTACCAGTAAATATGTCAAATTGCTACTTTGGGTAGGATACTGGGAGACAGAAACCAAAGACTTCAGGTTTATCCACAATGTATTTAAAGTGATAACTAGTAGGACAAGGCAGTTAATATTAGATGCTAGCTGAGGCATATGGAAAGAAATAAAGGCTGCAGGACACCAGGTCTAGACTTTGTGGACTGCACTCGCTGGAAGCAATTCTTTGAAGGAGGTGAAACCTACCTTGGGTCACAGAGAAAGAACAGGATTCAGAAATAGTGATTTTCAAACTCAAAAATATAAAAACCCAGCTCTGATGTTGAAGTAAGAGTGAAGGCCTCAACCTGCCTGTCTGGCATCCCCACTCCCTGAGGTCACCCCTGAGGGTTCCACTGAGTCCATATATAGAACATACCATAGGGATGAAGCATACCAAGGGCCTACTAAATTAAAGGAATGGTGTGAGGAAAGACTCAGAGCAAGGAGCCCAACTCAAGGAAGGCAGGTGGCAATGCACATGAGTGGGCAAGTCTTTGTATAGGGAATCAGGAGTGATGTTGGGCAGTAGAATGTATTCTTTCCTGGACAGAATGACTACTCAGTTCCAACTGATGTTATGTGGAAATGAAGATCCTATGTAGACATTCAGCCTGAAGTACAGATTTCCAAGCTGATACCATCTAGGAAATCTTTAAAAAACATCACTCAGGTCACCCAGGTCAAATAAAACAGCTGTAGGACACACCCAGACCCCAGGCCACTGTTTTGCCACCTTTGGTGTGGAGACATGAATGTGTAATATGTCAGTGAGGAGCCCTCCAGTGTGACTGAAGGGACATAAGTTTGAAGAGAGTAGGAAATGAGGCTAAAGGTCTGTTTAGGGCCAAGAATGAGAAGGACTCTGGCTGCACCTTGCTGGGGAATCTGAAATCTGTTCTTTAGGCTGGGTTACTACTGAGGGTTCTTTGAGGAGTACAGCACCGGTCTGATCTGCTTTGGGAAGATAATCGTGGTGACCACTGAGGAATATACTAGAGTGGTCACAGTCAAGGCACAGGAATCATTAGGTAAAGCTATTTGATAGATGGTTCAATTTAAGGGATTGGTTTGCAAAAGAGGCAGTGTGAAATTTTTGTGAGTTTAATTGTCAATCTGTTACCCAGAATTTGTCCAGCTATACATTTGTCTCACTGGATAGCTTCTAGCCTATCACTTTTGCTTCAGTCAGAATGGGGGGGGGGGTGTGATAAAATATGCATAGTATAAAGTTGCCATTTGAATCATTTTTAAGTGCATGATCCAGTGGCATTGAATAGGTTCATATTGTTGTGCAGCCATCACCCCTGCTATTGTTGGGATGTTTGTCCCCCTAAACCTCATGTTGAAATCTGATCCACAATGTTGGAGGTGGGACCAAATATTAAGGAGGTATTTGGGTCTTGTAGGTGGATCCCTCATGAATGGCTTGGTGCTGTCCTTGAGGTAGAGTGAGTTTACACTCTGTTAGTTCCTGTGAGAGCTGGTTGTTAAAAAGAACTTGCCACCTTCCCCTTTGCTCTCTCTTGCTTCCTCTTGTCATGTGATCTCTGCACAAACCAGCTCCCCTTCTCCTTCCACCATGAGTTGAAGCAGCCTGAGACCCTAAGCAGAAGTAAATGCTGGTGCCATGCTTCTTGTATAGCCTGTAGAGCTGTGAACCAAATTAACTCTTTTCTTTGTAAATTACCCAGCCTCAGGTATTCCTTTATAGAAACCTAAATATAAGACAAAATGTAACACGTAGGCAACTACCATAATCTCTAGAACTTTTCATCATTACAAACTGAAACCGTGTACCCATTCGGCAGTAACTCCCCATTAGCCCCTCCCTCTGCCTTGGGTAACCTCTATTTTACTTGTCTTATATAAGTAGAATCATACAATATTTGTCTTTTTGTGTCTACTTATTTCCCTTAAATAATAGCATAATTTTATAAATTATATTTTTGTGATTTGAAGTTAGAGTCTTTGAATGAGACTGTGAAGCTAATAAATATTTGAAACCACAGACTATTTCTCAGATGGTAACCTTTCTCAAGGTTCAGCCTTGCTTCTTGGATCCTTCATCAGGGACATTTATTTTATGACCTGTTTACTTCTCCATCTCTAAAACATTAATCAGAGAGCTTAATAAATGTATGAAGCTAAGAAATAACAGACCAGGCTAATTCCTGATGTCACTCATGCATTGCTTTGGTAGGGTTGTGGACAAAAGTATATATTTTTGAGGCCACATCTCTCTCTGGGAGTTTGTATTGGTGCTGAAGGTAAGTTTCAGAGTTTCCTGGAGTAAATGTTCTCCATCGATACTAGCAGCCAAGGCCTGAGAGCCTGGTATTCCCTGAAGACTCAGATTTTAGATCTGCTTGCCTCAAATGCTGGCAGTACTTGCTTTCTTGTGTGGAGGAAGAGTGCAATTAAATTTTGAATTTTTGGCTTGAAATTGCTGTATACATACATATACATACATATGTATGAATATATACTATGTATATGTGTGTATATATAATTTGTATACATTTACAGGATATGGTGCAGTTTTGTTACGTAATGTAATGTGTGGTGGTGAAGTCTGGGGTTTTAGTGTGTCTTTCATCCAAATAATGTATATTGTACCTATTAAGTAATTTTTCATTATCCATTCTCCTACCCTTCTGAGACTTCAGTGTCTGTTATTCCATACTCTGTCCATGTGTATACATTATTTAGCTTCCACTTGTAAGTGAGCACATGCAGTATTTGACCTTCTATTTCTGAGTTGTTTCACTTAAGATAAACGTTTTAATAAAGAACATAAATGGAGCATTTGCCCATTTACCTCACGTGAATATTTTAAGTGAATTCCACAAAAGAAAAAATTTGTCCTTAGTTTTAATGTAACTTTTCTGAAAAGAATAGTCAAGGTTTTTTTTTTAGAATTCTAGGTATGGGAAATTAGAATCTAGGTGTGGTTTATCTGCACAATTGTCAAAAACCTTGTTTTACTGATGTTAATAACTAAATATTCGGGGCCTCTCAAGGATGGAAGGGAAGGGATGTTAGAAGTCATTACGTTCTACCTCTAAGCCTCACTATTCTGGCCCCAGAGATTGTTAGAAAATTTCAAGCTGCTATGGGTGATGAATGTAGCATAATGAACAATTTGTAATAGATGTTCATTAAAAAAGTCAGAATAGTGACTGTTAATATTACAATGAAGTGTGTCCACAAGAGAATGATCAGGATGGTAAGAGGACTTAAACCAGGAACTGGGATTGTGACCACAGAGGAGAAACATTTCAGAAAGATGGGCAGGATACATGTCATTAACTCTGGACTACTGTCAAATAGTTGAAGAATTGGATGTTTTATGTGATGCTAAGAACACAAAAGCTACTATGGATGATTGTAGCTTCATATTAATAAGAACTTTCTAAGATATAGCTTAATATTAAATTTAAGCAGCCTGCATCGAAACGTAGGGGAGATTCTATTCCTCATAGTTAATGACATAACTGTAATAAAATTCTTAATTACAAATAACGTCTATCCCATTTTACAGATGGCCTTGTGGGTTGAGACTGTTTTGTTCACAAGACTGATGGGTGCCTGCCATTTACTAGACTTTTACTGATTTTTGATGAAATAAATTATTATGTTTTAAACACTAGATTTGCATTTGTCCCGCTACCAACTTGCATTGGGTAATATATGCATCTGACCTTCTTTAGCATGTGCATTTTTTTCTTGAAAAAATATTAGTTGTATCTAAAAATGTCCTTGCCCATTTTTTTGTTCTTTGTTTATCTCATGGATTGTTGTAAAATGCTTACATTCAGTGTCAGCATATTAGTTGTAACCTTTTATTGCTATTGATATCTATAAGTACGTTAAGTAAATCTTCATTTTGCTGACCTCTTTGAGGATGCGTGGCATCAGCAGATTCTCTCTTTCACTGGACAGGTGAGAGATTAGCAGGATCAAGTCAATTTTTCCTTTTTGCTTTGTTTCCTTCAGAACAGCAAGATTCATTGTTTAGCAAAAGGGAAACTGTTAAATGGCAGAATTTGTCTTGGTGGTAATGGTTTAAAGAGTGCATGTAAATTATACATCTTGTTTGTACAGGGTCTGATAGGTTCTAGTGTAGGGGATTTTTTTGTAAAACGCTCTTTTAGTAAGATGTTCATTTTGACTAAACCTGATTAAGAGCATAATAATTAATAGCACTAGAGTTTTTCAGTATAAAAATTGGCTAATTTGAGGTGGCAGCTTCTTCTTCCCTTCTGAGCTTAGTGAGGCAGCTTTGCGAGATGGATTTCCAGTGTTAGTAAAGGAATGAGTCTTCCGGGCCCTTCACTGACAAGTTCCTGGGGTAATTTTTTCATCTGCTAACTCTTTGAAGGTGGTCAACAGGATTGTGGATCTGTGTGACCCAGAGTAAACCATTTCAGACCTGCCAGGGTATGGAGAAGTTGAAGGAGGCATGTGAGAGTAAATGTAATTGAAGTTTTCTAAAGTGTAGTTGCAGATTCCCTTCCAAAGCAGGGCAGGTGGGTGTTGGTGGTGGGGACTTGAGGGCTGTTTCCCCTTGTAAATGCTTTTCTTTCATTACTTCTGACCATTTCCCTTTTCTGTACTTTATAGGAAACTGGGTCTCTTGCAGAATCTACGGATGAGTCTGAGGTAAGGTGGTGATTCAGGAGCCTTGGGATTTATAGTTAACCATGTTATTATCTTGAGCTTGCTCTCTTTTGCTAAATGCAACATTCCCAGGAGCTGAGCAGCAGTGGGGAGTGTGGCGTGGGGGTGATGGGGAAGGGGTTCAGCAGGGCTTTGAGCCTTGGAGAAGAGCATATGAGTTGCCTTTAACTTAAAACTTAAAACATAAACTTTAACTTAAAACTTAAAACATAAACATGAAAAGGAACAGAAGGTTTTCTCTTCATCTTGACAGTATTTTAACCTAAAGCATTTTGGCAGTGGGAGAATTAGTACAGTTTTAAAAACTAATCTCAACACTTTAAAAATCTGTTTTTTAAATATGCCCTGTAGATTTTACAGTACTTATTCTTTATTTGTTCTTTTAATGAATGTGACATGTTTATTGGTGTAATTTCTGAATCATTGAAATTAGAGTTTGCCTTAAAAGCCGTTAGGAACTTAAGTTGTGTTAAAGATAGTATTTTAGGGAGAATAAAGTAATATATAAGGGAGGACTTTAAAAAAATTTTCCTTGTAAGACTGTGCATAAGAAATATTAAATAACTTTAAGCATAGTACAAATTAATTAATTAGATAGCAATTTTATAGATAGACTATTTAAGAAGTACATTTTATTCTTTTGATAGTTTATTTAGCTCAGAGGAATGAACACAAGTATCTCATAACCTACTGGAAGTAAACATCAATGTGACTCTAGCCACAATAATCTATTAAATTTGGGTTGATATTGCATGTAGTTTTAATGTGAACTTGTTACTTTTTTAGGGAAAAAGTGGGCTTATGAATATTCCTTTAGAGAACATCTTATCTATGAGGCCATTGGGTAGTTGGGGTTTCTAACATTTTCACTACTAAGGACTCCCATTACAATGGGGCTCTAGGTAAGACATTTCTGAGTTTGTTTATCGATAGAGTATAATTATAATTTTCTAGTAAAGTACCGAGTAACATTTTAGATCACCTTTCTTATTTTTGGAAATCTCTGGGTAACTTAGAACCTGTGTTCTTAGATACTCTGGTACACAAGTCTACAGTGTTAGAGCTCTGTCCAGGAATTTCATTTTACAGGTGAGAAGGGTGTTGGCAGCCACCTAAATCTAAATCTTTTGACACATCCTCCAGATACTAGGAGATCAACAAGGAGAGCAAATAAAAGCACACATATCCCAGGCCTCCAGTATAATTAGGAAACGGAGTACTATAGACTTTAATATAAGTGGGGAAGGAAACATCCAAAGCCTGTGGAGCTGACTCTGGAGTTGACACGAGCTGAGAGTCAGATGGAGACAGGAAGAGAAAAGAGTGCAGCTTAGTCCTGCAGTGGCAGAATACAGATAAAAATCACCCTTAGTGAGAGGTGGCCTCACCCTGAGCTGGGAAATTTGAAAACAGACCTGAGACATGGTGCATTTGGGGAGTTTAAAGAAAGAGATTTGAAGGTACATGGGGCCAGAGGTGACAGTGTTGGGTAGTGCTACTGGGAGAGATGGAGGAGGCATCCCTTAGAGGCTTTGTGGTGAAGGGGAAAAGACAAAGCTGAGGATATCAAGGGTGCCCAGAAACAATGAGCATCATGAGATCAGAACACTTATCTATTCCTCTCTCCCACAACCAAAATGTGGAAACCTAGTAAATCACTCAGATACCTCACTGCTTCATGGTAGCGTCTCCTGTTGCTGTCCAGGAAAATCCAAGATATTTGAAAAATGAATTGAAAAGACAGCTAACATCTATACAAAGCTACTTTAAGAAGAAAAGAGAAAGCGAGAATCAGAATTTTCAACAGCAGAAAACAGTAACAACACCCTATCATGAGCTGAATGTTGTAAGTCTTCTGATCTCATGATGCTCTTTGTCTTTGAACATGCATTTGCAGATATGATAAAGTACCTTAAGTCAGAAATGAAAAAAAAAACTCAGATTAGAAATGGACCAAAAAACTAGGAAGGTAGAGAATGAAAGCTGGCCAGACTGAGGAAAGAAATGGAAGGAAAAGGTAGTTATCTTAAAGTTAAGGAAACAGACCCAATGGGTAGCCTGACTATCTAGTGTCATACAGCTGGTTATTGAGAGAAATGGTTTCCAATTCTGGGCTCTTTCCATTGTTTTACCCTTTAGCTCTGGTGCCTTCTGCTTGGGGTGGTGCTAAATGACTGGAGTTGCGTCCCTAGGTTTGTATCTTGATGAAACTTCATACCTTTTGTATGATCTGGGCATAGCACTCACTTCCTCTGTTCTTCAGTTTCCTCATGTGAAAAATGGGCATTATTGCTTGCCTTGTATAGTTACTGTGAGGATAAGACTAATGTTTGTACTGGATCTTATATAGTGCCTGACACATGTGGCACACTCTGTAAATATTAGGGATCCTCAACTTGTATATTAGATATTGTGATGGTAGCTCATTTACCAGCTTGGGTCTTCATCCTGAGGGCTGGGAGAGACTCCTTACTGCTCCATGAAAGTGGCTACTCTCCCAGGTGGTACTGATTCTAGTACCAGCGAAGTACTCAGGAGAAGTTTTTCTTGGGTTTCTTTACTCAGTTTGAATTACTTTCCAATTCCACTTCAGTTTCATTAGTGATATTTTGAGACACCTGTTTTTGAGAGGAGAACTATGACAGGAAGACCATTTGCATGGTTCTTGTGGAAGTCCTATGAAAGAATATCCCTTCCTCTTCTTCTTCTATCTCTTCTTCTTATTAAGTTTTGTACCTGTTGATCATTACAAAAACAGTGTAGAAAATAGTGCTTGGCACTTGGTTGCTTCTTAGGTATGTTAATTGGCCCTGTGACTTGGCTATGATGATTGCTTGATTTAACTTGTAAAACTACCCAGATGGTAAGTGGGTTTGGATCTAGTAGTTGGACTCCAAAACCAGAGCTCCTAACCTCTAATTAAACTACCTGTGACTTCACTGTAACTCTCTAATTTTTTGCCAGACTCTTCTATGTACATTTAAAGAACTGGACAGGGTTTAAAAAAAACCTTCCCTGGAATGTTGCCATGTATAAAATATTTTGGGCAATATTACAGATTCTGACTTGTTCAACTTGTAGGAAAAGATGCCAATTTCTGAATTACTTTCTATTCTGGAAAATAGAGAATAGCCTTGTTAATTTATATGTAATATTAATTGTTTAATAAAATTCTTGTTTTGCCATAAGATGTATAATGTTATTATAACATAATTATAACATAATTACTTATAAAATAAATAATGTTATTTATAGGTTAGACCTTCCAAAAGTACATCAATATTTCTGTGCAGAAATTTAGTTGTAAGGGTGTTCATTGCTTTGCTTATAATACAAAAACTTGAAACAGGTTGAATATTCAGAAATAAGGAATTGCGTTAAAAAAGACCTATCCATATAATCCATATAATGGATTATTATTCTGTCACTAACATGATTAATGATATTAATATTTAGATACAGAAATTATTCACATATCTTTATTTCATATTATTTTCATAATTGAAAAAACTTTTTGCACAAATGTTATTAAGAGCAGGGATTGGCAGACTTTTTCTGTAAAGGTCTAGGTTGTAAACATTTAAAGCTTTGCAGACAAAGAGACAGTATTGTGGATATTATGCAGATATGTGACTATATAAATGTGTAAGCACCTTTTTGGGCAGTACAAAAACAGATGTCTGATTAGATTTGGTTCACAGGCTGTAGGTTTTCAGTTCCTGATTTAGACTATATTTCTTTACACCTCCCAAAATCCACATATAAGCACAGAAAAAAGGATATAATACCATATTATCACTTAGTCATGTGGTTTTTATTTATTTCCTATCATTATCTGCCTTTATTTTCTAAGTTCTCCATAACAAGTATGTATGGCTCATATATTAAGCAGAACAATAAAAATGTTTTTAACAAAATTTATTCATTTCTATACATATTATAGATGTCTTCTGTGTTGATATTACAGAACTTTTGGGTTGCAAAGCTGTGGAACCCAGAATAAAGCAACATGTCCTTCCTTGCCCAATCACAAGGCGATAGGGGAAAAATTTAGTTTACTTCTTAGCCACTTTTTTTGTATCCAAGATGTTCTATAAGGCCAAAATTGCTTTTACTCTAATACCCTTTTTTTTTTTGGATTTTTAAAAAAGGTTTTATTTTGAGCTGAGGCGGAAGGATCGCCGGAGCCCAGCAGGTTGAGGCTGCAGTGACTGGGAGCGGCCACTGTACTCCAGTCTGGGCGACAGAGTGAGACTCTAACTCAAAAAAAAAAAAAAAAGGTTTTATTTTGAGAACTGGGATTCACATGCAGTTGTAAGAAATAATACTGAGAGATTCTATATACTCTTCCCCTACTTCCCAGAAGGTAACATCTTATATAACTCTATTTACAGTTTCATACCAGGAAATTGATATTGGTACAATCCACAGACCTTATTTGGATTTCATCAGTATTACATGCACTCATTTGTGTGTTGTATTTAGTTTTGTGCAGTTTTATCTTGTGAAGAAGATTCAGGTAACCACCACTGCAGTAAAGATACAAGACGGTTTTGTCACAAGATTCCCTTTGCTACTCTTTTGTGTGGTCACAGTCAGCTCCCCACCCCTGTTCCCCTAACCCCTAGCAACACTAATCTGTTCTACATCTCTATAATTTTGTCATTTTATGCATGTTAGATGAATGCAACCATATGTGTTTACCTTTTGATATTGTCTTTTAATCTCACTCTGCCAGTCTTTTAAATGGTGTGGTTAGACCATTTTATGTTTAAAGTAATTATTGATATGTTAGGATATCAATCTAACATATCAATCTTTTGGGTTTTTTTTCTATTTTTCATCTCTTATTTCTCTTTTTCGTCTCTTCTCTGAGTACTTGAACATTTTTTAGGATTCCATCTTGATTTATTTGTAGTATTATTGAGTTACTTTGTACAGTTTTCTTAGTGGCTGCTCTAGGTGTTAAAAAAATAAACACA